CAAGGCATGTTGCGGAATCGGTGATAACGCAAAAAGAATGGGAAGAAATACAGAAGGTCTTTTTCCTCCTCATTTCTGTTTTTTTGTGGCTTGATTTGCCCAAAAGGCACCAGAAAACAAGCGAAGTACAGGGGGTAACGGAGTATTAGATAGCCAGGGATATTATGGAAGAGGAGGAAGTGAGGGATTTCAGATATCTGCTTGGATAATTTATAACTTTTTATTTTGTAGCAGTACCAATTTACCATCGAAACGAATAAACAAATTCCAAAAGGGATTGGTTTTTGTACTGACTGAATCGAAAGCTCCAACCTTTAGCATAGAGTAGCGGCACTTGCACAAATTCCTTCCTTTTTTTGGACGCTGTAGCAAGATCGCTTGGAATCCCAGCAGCTAGAATTTGTGACATATTGGCTGTCGCAGTTCCGGAAGTTAAATGTGCAGCTGTGTGGTATGTCAGTTGTTGCTGTCGGCTTCAGTGACCCGGCAAATGGAAATTTGCTGGTGCACTGGTTCGAAATGCACACTGGTTCATTCTCATTCACTTCATTCTGGATTGCCAGCTAACCGAGCAAAACGTGGTGGTTCCAAGTTGCGGAATTCTTCCTGCTTTTTCACTGAAGGTTGCCCAACATATACCTAAATTTGCTTTCAAATTTTTGTTTAAGAAAAAGAAGCAGCTGTGTGAGTTACGATTGATGGCTAGTGCAAATTCATGTGGTTCCGAGGAACAATCTCCGTCCAATGGGGTTTCATACAGCTGCGGTGATGAGGAGCAGGGTGAGGGTATGGCTGGCGCCGGTGAGGACGATGACGGTATGTATAGATTATGTGGCTTATTCGTGGCCGAAGACAGATTACCGCAGTTTGATTCCCCTCTCATAATGAGGTTCGGGTCGAATTTGACTTCTTTATTTGAAACAAAGGAGAATCAGTGTTGAAACTGTACATTGGTAGTTGGACTGTTAAGGCGATTGCATCCAGGTTGACCCTGGAAACCTAAGTGGTAAAGGCTCGATAAATACAGAAAGTGAAGTTCGGCAAAAAAAATACGGTTTTGTATAAAGTGGTTAAGAGGGTCGCATTTTTCAGGAGATATAAAAATGACC